TGTCCAGGCCCCTCTGGATGCCTTCCCTTCCCCCTACTGTATCAACTGCACCTCTCAGCTTGGTGTTACCTCCAAACTTGCTGAGGGTGCACTCAGTGCCATCGTCAGTGTCACTGATAAAGATATTGAGGAGCACCAGTCACAAGACCAGCACCTGAGGGACATCGCCTGAGACCGGCCTTCACTCTGGCACAGAACCATTAATCACAACCCTGTGGCTATACTCAGACAACCTTAATCCACCTAATAGTACGTCCTTCAAATCCATACCTCTCCAATTTAGAGAGAAGGATGTGGTGAGGGACCATGTCAAAGGCTTTGCAGAAGTCCATGTAGATGACATCCATCACCCTTTCCCTGTCCACCGATGCCATCACTCTATCATAGAAGGCCACCAGACTGGTCAAGCACGATCTGCTCTTGGTGAAGCCATGCTGGCTGTCTCAAATCACCTCTTTGTCTCATATGTGCCTCAGTTTCATGAGGAGGTCTCGGACTTATTTCACTGTTATGGTGGGATGGAATCCACTCCTCTCACCCACACCTAGAGCTTCAGAGTCCTGGCAGACATGGGGAGGAGCCTGAGCTCCTCAGTTTTTTTCATGTCTGAGGAAGCCAGTTCTCCATCTTTATTTATCAGAGGGGGAACGCTCTCTTAGATCTGTCTCCTTCTGCCTATGTACCTGTAGAACCCTTTCTTGTTATCTTTCACATCGCTTGCAGAGTTCAGCTCCAACTGTGCCTTGCCTTTCCTGATCATCTATCTACACATCAAGATAATGTCCGTATATTCTTCCCAGGCTATAGCAGGCAATCGAGGAGTTCACATTCTTGTGGAGTGTGTGTTAGGAAAGCCAACTTCCAGTTCTTCAGGGAGTTAGTCAACAAAACCCACTGGGAAACTGCTCTCAAGTCCAAGGGAGCTGAGCAGAAAACCAACCACATCCTGGGTTATATGTGGCCAGCAGGTCGAGGGAGGTGATCCTGCCTCTCTACTCTGTGCTGGTGAGACCTCACCTGAGTACTGCATCCAGATGTGGAGTCCTCTGTATAGGAGAGACGTGAACCTCCTGAAGAACTTCCCACGGAAGGATGCAAAAATGATCCAAAGGATGGAACACCTTTCCTATGAGGACAAGGTGAGAGAGCTAGAGTTCTTCAGCCTGGAGAAGAGAGGGCCCCAGGGAGATGGCCTTTCAGTATCTACTGGGGGGGGGCTATAAGAAAGTCAATTGCTGTTACCGAATTGGGTTGTACATCTTTTCCTGCTTTCTTCCTAGTGCTGTACAATGCAAGAAAAGTTATTTACTGCACACACCCCCACATCACCTAAATCACAGAGGCAAGGCTTATAATGAAGCATATTAAGTTTGGCTAAACCAGGCATATCCAACCCACGCCCTACCGCTGCTTGCGGCCCAGCTCAGCTCGCACTGCAGACCGCGCCCCCTGCTTCCCCATCATTATGGCAGCAGCTCTGCCGTGGCAAGCGGCCCAGCCCGACTTTGAAACATGGGGAGTGGAGTGCAGTGCTGAAAAATAATATGGCACTGTGCTTAATTTGCAAGGAAATCGCGTCAGTTTTCATATATTACAATTTGAGAAAATATTATACTTAGAAACATGAACCGGAAAAACATCTTGGCTCAACAAAGTCTTTTTTAAAAAATTAAACCTCAAATAGACTCTGTTATAAAAACTAATTTGGTGACAGCAAATCTGATTGAAAAAACCAAACCAAACCAAACCAAACACACACACACACACACACACACAAAACAAACAAACAAACAACAAAAAAAAACAAACCTATTTCCTTAAGGTGAGTTTGTTAAAGAATGTATGGAAACTACAACAGGTGCAATGTGTCCTGATAAAAACAAAACAAAAACAGATTTTTCTAGAATCATTTTGTCTAACCAGAGTATAGACAGGTAAACTGGAAAAAAAAA